GCTAAAGTCATTCTATGACGTGTAACTAAACACAACCATGCTGTCCTGGGTTCAGCAGTAGCAGTCATTTTTCTCTTTAGTAGCTGGTGCAGTGCTGTTTTTGACTTTCAGCCTGGGAACAGCGCTGATAACACTGATGGTTTTAGTTGTTGCTCAGTAATGTTTACTCTGACCAAGGACTTTCTGAGCCTCACGCTCTGCCAGGGAGGAGGGGAAGTCAGGAGGAAGCAGAGACAGGACACCTGACCCAAACTAGCCAAAAAAGTATTCCATACCACAGCACATCATGCCCAGTATAGAAACTGGGGGCAGTTATCTGGAAGGGCTAGATCACTGCTCGGGTCAGGCTGGGTATCAGTTGGTGGGTGGTGAGCGTTTGTATTCTCTTCCCTCGTTATTTCCCTTACCACTACCATTACTGGCGGTAGCAGTAGTGGTTTGTGTTAAACCTTAGTTACTGGACTGTTCTTATCTCAACCCATGGGAGTTATTTGATTCTCCTCCCCATCCCTCCGGGAGCAAGGGGAAGAAAGGGGGGAGTGAGCGAGCGGCTGCATGGCTCTCAGTTACCGGCCGAGCTTAAACCACAACACACGCACATATATGCTAGATTTTGCTTTAATATATACGAGCTGACTATTTGTTACCACGATAGTTTTATTAGATTTTTAAGTGACATTACAAAGATCCCCAGGCTGGTATTACAATGTATAGCGATACATTTCCAATATTCATAAAATTCCCATTATGACCTTTCATTAGAGTCCCCAGCTTTGAAAAATGACCTGTCATATTGCTTTCAGAATACATAGGTGCCAAAGTGGTGGCATTCGAAGAACAGTTTTAAGTGTGGTCCACATGTAACTGCTGACTGGCATCAGTGCCCTTTTAAATTTGTGTGTCAAGATGGAAGAGCATTGCAGTGATTGTCAGTCGTGTCCAACATTGGTCATTTTTCTCCACAAGTGACATAATACAAACTCTTCTAAATATTCCATTGCCAAAATACCCTAATGTAACGCATTAAACTCCAGACTCATATATGTGGATGTGATTAGTAAAGTGAACATCTTTCCAAATCAAGTATTTTGAAGAACTCTAGCCAGCTGTTATTCAAAGAGAAGCAAGGATTTGCAATTCTAACTCCTTTTTTTTGTTACTCAGTATGTCATCAGTTTGTTAGCAAACCATTTTGTGCAGCGAGCCAGGGATTTAAACTGTAAGCCCACATAGAGAGATGCTCAATCCCATCCCTATTCTGCCTACTGTTCTAATGACAATTATTGTTCACAGGTGATGCTAAATGACAAGGTTTCAAAGTAGAATTTTACAGTGTTAAAAAACTTAAAATTCCACAGTGAGATTTTTTCATAGTCAATAGTTCCTTATCTGTCAAACAAACAGACCTGAATGGCAGTGGTTGCGCAACTGCGTACACACATCTCTAGTACTAAATCTAAATTTCTGGTTCTAAAACACACAAATAAGATAATACCAGGAATAGGACATATGATTTGCATGTTAGTCTCAAGTTTACCAAAAATCACCTTATTACATGTATGAGAAAGCAACACGCAGTCCTCACGTAGTTGAGCGACAGGCTAAGATTAATGTTAAGTTTTAGTCTTGTCCCTCACTTCACAAAGTTACACAGGACAGTTAAGTTTTCTATTTGATGGGAGTCACTATACCTTTAGCTATCAAATATTAAACATCTAGAAAAAGTATAGGAAAGAGAAAAAGTGACTTCACAAAAAAATACACCCAGTAGTTGAGATCCTAAGATCTGTGTTTTAATAACACAACTAATTGATCCTCGTAACAAGAATTCAAAAAGTTAAATTACAGTACACAAATCAAAATATAAATTACCTATCCGTAGCTATACAATATACATCAGGAATGCAAGCTCTGTAACAATATAAAAATGCTTTTACACACAGTAGATGCAAAAAGCTGTTCTGTAATTCCAAGGATTTCTAGGAAAAAAAAAGAAAAAAAGTTGTCTTTCAGGATTCATCTTCAGTTATTGGCAACCTGTTGGGGAAACAGAATAATAAAATAATTTGCTTTTCTGTTAAAGTATTATATAAAACAGGTACCTTAACAAGCAAGACGTGTACCTGTTGCAAACACACATGCCCACTACATAGGCTGCATAGTACACCAGATGTGATCCCAGAATCTCAAGCCCAAGAGAAGCTGAGACATGTCAATTCCACTTTAAAAATAAAAAAAAACTTAATCTAACATGATACATCTAGTATTTTAATTTACCTTTCATGGATGACAAAATTCAAGCTCTATACAAACTGAGATGAAACCTGGCTTCTTGTGCCCCTCCTCACCGGCAGAGCGAGACTAAAAAGTCCTTGATCGGGGTAAACATTACTTAGCAAGAACTAAAACATTGGTGTGTTGTCAGCATTGTTCTCCGACTAAAGCACTGCACCAGCTACTAAGAAGAAGAAAAACAACTGTTACAGCTGAACCCAGGACAATGCTGTAACCATTGTCGCACACTTGCACTGCTCCCATCTTCTGAAACACCTTTAGTGATTGCTGTAGTGCTGTGTGTGGTGCTACCTGATTACTTGAGTTTATTTACATGTTTTTGTTGTACTCCTAGCAACCTCCTAACTTACACAAACAGGAATTTACAGCTGATGGAAAGTACCTTGCTCTTCAGCCCCTGTGCACAGCAGGTCCACAGGCTCTTGCAGCTAAAAAGAAGCTGAACAATACAGGGTGCAGTACATGGAGAAGTAGCGCCACACTGCTACCAGCTTTCCAGCTATGGAAGCTGGAGCTGATGTTGGTAATGTACACGAGATTATGGTCCTTTTCAGGTCACTCAAATGCAGTTCACAGGAAAAATCAGAACAGTTTGGTTTGTCACCAACACTTTTTCCCCACTTCACCTCCTTTCCATGCTGCAAAAGCAGTCGTTGTTTCAGATTTCACTCAAGAAAATGAATTCAGCTTCCTCAAAAATAACTAGACACAAAGAAAATAACTCTCTTCTCAATACTGATTAAGGAAAATACCTTCAGTGAAGTGGCTAACAGAAGCCTGCTGAGGAGAGCTTCTTAAGGCTTCTTGTACATAATTCTATACAGTACAATTCTATATACGTAAATCTGCTCTGCATGAATTTCAGACTCCTTCACAAGTCAAAGGAAAAAGTCCATCTACTTTAAAGTCAGTAATTTCAAGTAATACATGGATTTATTTAAATGCTAGCAAGCAACTGTCTCACTTTAACTCTTGTTAGTAGCAGGGGTCTTGTTCTCGCCTTCCAACTCCTCCACTCCTGCCTGAGTCATAAGGTCTGCAATGTTCTTCTCCAGGTCGTCTATGCGACAGCTCATGTCATCAAGTTCACTGGAGTTAAGGAACATGACTGCAGTCCAGTACTGGTTGCATTGGTTTGTTTGGTTACAGTTTTGCTCAAACTCTTATGGTTACTTTATCTTACAAATCCCACTGTAAATATACTTTAAAATACTTACGATTCTATAGTGTTTACCACCTGCCTTTAGAAAAGGATATTTCTTCCAATTATTTGGTCGGACATGGTTTGAAATTTGTCCTGCATTTGCTGGAGCAATGTCTGCACCTAATGGAAAGGAAAGAAAGAATTCCATTTTGATTTTTTTAAAGAGGTTGCTATAGAATTAATCCCACATAATGGGGTTAGTACAATGTTTTCTTTCATTGCTGAGCTCAACTGTGCAAAAAAGCTGCAGTATAATGCCGTATTTAGGTGTTGTGTGTGTATATATACATATATATACACAGGAGAACTGAGCTCACAGTAAAAAATTTTTAAGACCCAAAAATGCCTGCTCTCCACAACCTGGACTAAACCCACCACAGCTGCTTCCAGCCTCCTAATCCTAACACCTTTGGTGTTAATCACAATGATACTTCTTTCAGTATCAGAACCACAAAACAGTGGGTAGGAAGGGACCTTCAAAGCCCATCTAGTCCTACCCCCTGCAATGAGTAGGGCCATTTTCAACTATATCAGGTTGCCCAGAACCACCTCCAGCCTGGCCTTGAATGTCTCCAGGGATGGGGCATCCATCTCCTCTCTGGGCAACCTGGGCCAGTGTTTTAGCACCCTAAGTATAAAACATTTTTTCGTCAGCCATAATTTCCCTCTTTTAGTTTAAAATCATCACCCCTTGTCCTCTCGCAACAAGCCCCGCTAACAAGTGCCCCCCCATTTTTCTTAAAGGCCCCTTTTAAAGGTTGAAAGGCCACAAGGTCTCTCCAGGGCCTTCCGTCCTCCGAGCTGAACAACCCCAACTCTCTCAGCCTTTCCTCACAGCAGAGGTGCTTCATCCCCCCCATCATTTTTGTGGCCTTTCTCTTCAGCAGGTCCACGTCTTTCCCGTGCTGAGGACTCCAGAATAACGGCCCTTTTCCCCTCTCTCCCAGACCGTTGCTCTCAACCACAGCCCTCCGGTAACTCCTCCTTACAGGAGGCCTCCAGCACCTCGGGGAAGCGCCTGGCTTCGTGCCGCCATGGGACGCGCCCGGATAGCTCCGCAGTAGCAACGGTTTATAACAACAAAGGCTGAGGTAACCTCCCTTTAACTCCCTCCCCTCCCAAGCCAAGCAAGCTGACGCGGGTCCCGGCAGCAGGAGGTAACGATCGGGGCGAGGCCGAAGGCTTCACGGTTCCTGACGGGCCCCTCCTCAGGGGGGCCGCTGAAGGGCCGCGCTCCCCTCGGCGCTCCCCTCGGCACTCCCCTCGGCGCTCCCCACGACCCCGGTGCCCTCACCACGGCGGTGAGGTCCTGCACGGTCTTCGGGTCGGTCTCGGCCATGGCGGGCTCTGCGGGCGCTGGTCCCGGCTCCAGGGTAGCGACAGCGCTTCCGGCCGCGCCTCGCCCCTTCCGACTCTTCCTCTCGCGAGAAGAAGGGGCCCCGGAGCACTCTGGGAGGTGTAGTCCGCGCCGGGGCCTGTCTCTCCCGTTGGCTGTGGGTCTGCGTTCTGCCTCCTCTGCTGCCGGTCGTGGCTGGCCGCCGCTGGCAGCGGGATGTGGAAGTAAGGGGCGGTGGGCGCCCCTCGGTGTGCCGAAAGCGGTAGCGCAGCTGTATGGAGAAGGAAGGAGTTGGAACAGGTCCAAAGAAGGGCCACGAGGATGGTCAGGGCACTGGAGCCTCTCCCGTATGAAGATAGGCTGAGAAAGTTGGGGCTGTTCAGCCTGGAGAAGAGAAGGCTGCGTGGAGACCTCATAGCAGCCTTCCAGTATCTGAAGGGGGCCTATAGGGATGCTGGGGAGGGAGTCTTCATTAGGGACTGTAGTGACAGGACAAGTGGTAATGGGTTAAAACTTAAACGGGAAGTTTAGATTGGATATAAGGGAGAAGTTCTTCAGTGTGAGGGTGGTGAGGCACTGGAATGGGTTGCCCAAGGAAGTGGTAAATTACAGTGTCAAAGACCAGGCTGAACAGAGCCTTGGGTGACATGGTCTAGGGTGAGGCGTCCCTGCCCATCACATGGGGCTGGAACTGAATGATCCTAAAGTCCTTTCCAACCCAAGCCATTCTAGGAAAGCAATTTTTTCCACCAGAACATTAAGATTAATCTGAAGCTGAGAGTAAAAGCTTTCCTCACACAGTGATGGAATAGTTCACTCAAGCATTCAGGACATAACTTTGTAGGTTGGGGGGATTACAGATGTATTTTCCTAGGCTGAGTAGTGGTGCTGTGTGAAGAGCCCATCTCCCCTTTTACTGTTTAATTTAAAAGGGAATGAGCAGTTAAACCTGGCTGGGAAACGTGTGCAGGTAATCTGGCTTCAGACAGGGGCTGGCTGTGGAGTGGGCGGCATTAGGGATTAGCACTGGGAGCTGGGAATGTTACGTAAATGGATTGATGATTAAAGAGAATATATTATTGTGGCATATTGTCTTCATGAAAGAAAGTACAAATAAAGTTCATGCATTAGATTAAATTCATGTCTCCCGCAGATTAGCGACATGGGCCTTAAGATACTGTAAAGCTTTGTAGACTGGATTTCCTCAGTGGGGATGGAAGCAGAATAAGCTCTTCCTAAGTGTATGTTTATAGGCTTTTCAGGTGAAAACTACTCATTTGTAATTTTCATTTGTGAAGTGGGTGGGTATTTACATGGCTTGGTTATTGTGTATGGCCATAAAAGACAACAAAAGCATGGAGTATGTGTTTGTAAATGAAGAACATTTCCCATTAGCAGCAGATGACTCTCAAATGTCCCATTTCACCTGGAAGCCAATGCAATGCACCAACACACCCTGCCTTACCCCCTAACTAGCAACACATCTGAGACGCAGGGCATTTGAATTAATAATATGCCTTTTGGAGCACTGCAGGAGTAATGAAAAAGCCCCTTAGTGCCATTTTGGGGAAATGTTGCCTGTTTAAAAGTAAATGTGGCTTTTGGTTTGGAAAAATGCTGAGAAATAACTCCCATTTATTTGTTTGATGTGCTTATGAAAGTTGGTGGGGTTTGTAACTGCTCTTTTCAATGAGATAAACTGTTGTTTTAAACAGGGCCTATCTGGTCTCTGGGTGCTCATCCGAGTGCAGATGGAACATAGAATCAGCTGGTTTGGAAAAGACCTTTACGATTATTAAGTCCAACCGTTAACCCAGCACTGCCAAAGCCACCGCTGAATCCTGTCACTAAGGGCCTCTACATGTTCTTTGAATGCTTCCAGGGACAGTGACTCCACCACTGCCCTGGGTAGCCTGTTCCAGTGTCTGACCCCCCTCTCTGGGGAGAAATCGTGCCTAATGTCCAGTCTAACCCTTCCCAGGAGCAGCTTGAGGCCATTACCTCTTATCCTATCAACATGTTACTTGGGAGAACAGACCAACCCCATCTCACTACAACCTCACTTCAGGTAGTTGTAGGGAGCAATAACGTCCCCCCTCAGCCTTCTCTTCTCCAGACTAACCCTTCCCCAGTCCCTCAGCCATTCCCCATCACACTTATGCTGCAGGCCCTGCAACCACTCCGTTGCCCTTCTCCGGTCCCACTCCAGCAGCTCAATGTCTCTCTTACAATGAGGGGCTCAGAACTGAACACAGGATTCAAGGTTCACCTCATCAGTATCTCATACAGGGAGACAATCACAGCCCTGGTCCTGCTGTCACACTATTGCTGATGCGGGCTTCTTGCCTTCCTGGGCACAAGCTGTTCATGTTAGGCTCTGTCAGTCAGCACCCCCAGGTCCTTTACCACGAGCAGCTTTCCAGCCACTCTTCCCCAGGCCTGGAGCATTGCATGGGGTTGTTGTGGCTCAAATGCAGGACCCAGAACTTTGCCTTGCTGAACTTCATACCATTGGCCACAGCCCATTGATGCAGGCTTTGCAGATCCCTCTGCAGACCCTTTATGTCTTTCAGCAGATCAACACTCCCAGCCAACTTGATGTTGTCCGCATATTCACTGAGGGAGATCTTACATCTTCCCCAAGATCTGGTGTGTCCCATGGTAGACAGGGGCGTTCATGGGGCCAGGCAGTGGCTGCTGTCCAGCTGCTCCAAACCCCACAGAATGTGGCGTATCAGTGCCTGTCAGGGGACTGCATCTTCCCCAGCATGCTTCTGAGCATGCGACTTTACGGGGAGACAACACAGTGATCTCGTGTGTGCACAGTGTGTGGCTCACTTAGAGAAGTGTGGCTTTCTGCATGAGTTCAGGAGGTGCAAAACAGCGGGGAGAGATGTGCAGAGTAGGAGAGGTCTGATGTGTGTGCTTCTGCCTTCTGGCTCTGAGCAGAGGATGGTATTTATTTTATTACATGTTCTCCTGGTAAGCTAAATTCTGGTGTCCCATTATCTTCTTACTGTTCTTAGGAAGTGCAGGAAAGGGGGAGCTTCCAGGAAACTGCTGGACCTGTCAAACTATTGAGGGGCCGTTTCTGTCTCTTGCAGCATCCTGAGTAGGATGTCAAGGCTTTAGCCCATAGGCCAGGTGCCTAGCAGGAGAAGACACAAGGTCCAGAGTCCCTGCAGCAGTCCCTTAAGATTCAGCAGGTAACAATGCACATGCCTTTATTGGTTTTCTATGATTTAACAAGGAAAAGATATGATTGGCCTGATTCTCCAGTTAGTTTCTTGTAGATGGTTTTGTTGGAGCTTGACCGTGAGAATGAGACATTGCTGATGACCATACTGTTACCAGCAGTGTCAAGTTTAGATGAAGTGCTTAATACGTTCAGCTGGTGGTCTTTCTAGCTCAAACATTCTAGCCATGTTCCATTTTAGGGAATGGACAAGGCTTAAATGGTTTTGACATACTGCTTAAAGTGTGTGTCCCCTAAACTGCTGTAATGAAAGGAGTCAGATCTGATTAGGGCCATTAGGGTTTTTAGTAAGTGTCCAATGGCTGCACTTTTGTTCTCATAACTTCAGGAACTGTTTTCATGTCAGGATAAAACATTTTCATTATTCATTTGTTCCCTAGCATGAAACAGTGACTGAAAATTTACAGGGTTTTGTCTCCTTTTTGAGACTGGACTGAAAGAAAGTGCTGTGCAAGGAGGGCTACTAGGATTAATGATCCTTCCACAGTGATGTTCAGAGATTACTAAAATGAAAGGAACTCAGGAAGGCTCAATTCTCTTGCTAGTTTTTTTACCGACAAGGTCTTAATTTAAAGTATACAGAGAATAAGGAGAGAATAAGCCTGTTGTTTTCCTTAAAATCAAGGGAAATTTACAAAGATAAATTTAAAACCACCTAGTGAAACTCTTTAAAATGTAGGGATATGCAGGTCTGTTGAGAATGCAGAATGATTTGATCTCATGTAGCAGTAAGTCATGGTCAGGCTCTGTACAAAACCAGGCACATTTTCAATTTTCCAGAGAACTCAAAATTAACTTTGCCCTTGTGGAAACATGATAGAGATTCCTGGTACTGGTTATCTTTAAATGTGATTAAGTTCCTGTTTCGTTCGGTGGTGTAGAATTAGAGTTCAACAACATGAAAAAAAAGGCTATTAATTTACAGCTTTTTTATTTGTGCCAGTTAATGCCAAAATCACATTAAGTAGTTAATGCTGCAGTATTAGTTGTATATTTGTTGATACACAATTAATGTTGTATATGTTAATGTTGATATATGTTAACATTGATATCTTTCCAGTAATTGCAACAGAGGGGTCGGGAGGCAGCTAATGAAATGTAAATTTTAAAAGGCAGAATAAAATTTCCCAAAGGCAACTTTTGCAAAGACCCTGCTTTTACCAAACCCACTTCTGTTAATTGTGTAATGACTTCAAAGAGGTGGAACAGTGCTATATTTACCTCTGTTTTAAATAGCAGCTCTTCCAGAGGACTTTGTTCCTGGTAAAATTCCAGCACATTAGCTCAATCAAAAAGTTTATATTGTTATGTCTGTGTATTTTGTGAGGCAATAAATAGCAACCATGCTTCAGTTGCTTTGACTATCTGATCTTATTTGGGCTCCCTGATGATTTTCAAATAGTTGTGGTAGTTCTGAATATTATTCACAGAGTGATCGTGCACTCCAACTGTTGCAGCTGCTCTCACCTGCTCCATTTGAGTGTGAGTTGTGGATTTTAAGATACTCGTTTAAAATCAGAGTTTTGGGTTTTTTTTTATTGAAGCCAAAGACTCATGATGAAATCTGGAGAAATCTTCAATATCTCAAATGCAACCTGAATTGCTTGTGGCAGAAATTCTTGAGAAAAGATAAAAATATAACAAATAGAACTCATTTATTACTTCCAGAGGAATAAAACCCCTAACAGGCTGTCAAATATACAGGAGATCAGAACACATTAAGCAAAGCATTGTGCTTAGAAAACAACTGTCATGGGAGAAGTAAATGTTCAGTATCACAACTCATGAATATTTAACTTGATAAAGCAAACACAGGTCTGGAATAAATGTGAGAGTGATTTGAATCAAAACGGAAACAACTGACTGCTTTTTCAGCAACTAAACCAAATAACTTTGGTGTGAATACTTCTCACACAAAGTTAACTGCTGTTATGAAATGCAGTTATTTTTGCGGCAGTTATTCCCCTCCAGCAATTTATCCCATATTTTGCATTTACAGTCTTTGATTAGCTTGCTGTTGCCTGCCATCTGAACTGATCAAGGAGTACTCCCCTGGGTGCCTTTGGGCCATGTGGTGGAAAAGAAAGACAGACCTGGATTCATTAGGAGTAACCGATTTAATTTTATAAGGTTGGACCAGAGGAAAGTGAGCAAGGTAAGAGCGATATTATCGTACTTCATACCTTAGCCTTTCACTGTCTCATTCCTCCTCACTCTCACACTTTGTTCTTGTACACAGACGCTTCAGAATGTTACCTTAATACCTTCGTTATCATTGCTACTAAACTTTCTGTGACTGGGAAAACAAAAACTTTTGTAATCTATACTTTCATGAAGGGGAAAGCTTGCTGATGGTCAATGACCACGAAGCCAAGAACCCTTTCCAAAACTGTTGAGGTGCTGGAAGGAGAAGGGTGTTACACTATTTTTCCTTTAGATTTACTAAGCTGACAGCGGCATAAAGCAATCAGAAATAATGCCAGAGTGTGATGCATGGCAGTATCAGCGGCCTGATAATACCTGCCTTATAATTCATGGTAATTTATGTCAGTGCTTAGTGGGATCTCTAGGGCCAGGACAAGAGGAACTGTGCTCAAGAAACAACCTGTAAGAGGAGAATCATAGAATCATAGTATCAACGAGGTTGGAAAAAACCTTTAAAATCATTAAGTCCAACCATAATGAAGACAATAGTAACAGTGAAGAGATTATAAGATTAATGTTATCTTTGTTATCTTCAGTGGAACCAATAGTTCTGTGAGGAAAAGGATTAATAATGGGTACAACACAAGACATTTCACTAGTAGAAAAGTCAACTAACTATAGATACTCTTGTTATTAACAGGTCAGCCTTTAAAGAACCTACTAAGATACGTTTTGCTTCACACAGCCATCTGTCTTCTGGTAGATTCAGCCTTTGGAGATGCTAGTCAAAGAGAATGCATGACAGCCCATATTTAAAAACATATACACGATCTATGTGGTCAGCATGTGCACAGGTCATTTGATAACAGTCCATTAAATGCAATAATTAAATTCACCAAGAGAACTCTATGATTGTACAAGACGAAAACCAAAAAAGTGTAGTAACTTTATAAAGCTATTTGAATTTTTTGTATTTTGTGTGTAGGGACATTTTAAATTGAGCATGAGAAAAGACTGAAAGGTGGGAGAGGTAAGAAGGTGTGAACCTTAAAATGAGACTTGACTTTAAAGCTGCACCTTCCAATTCTAGCTCTGCCTTGATAAAATTTTCATGAGGCCCACAGAATCCAGAATCCCATTATTTCTGACAGGCATCTGCACAGGAGAGAAAAGTCAGGCTGTGGAATTGTTTGAGTGCTAAAGGACCTGGAGGAATTCCTGCTAAAAAGTCTTCATTAGCATAAAGTTGAGTTGTTCCTTGTCTCAATGCTACCACAGCTAAGGCAGTTTGAGTAGAAAAGAAGGGGCCATACTTGGCTAGGACAAAGTATTGCTGTCTCAGTCTCTTTTTAACAGTTCTAGAGGTAACAGTCTGGCTGACACCCCTCTTTCACTGACAGTTTCAGGTCCACCCCTGATTTGTTGCCCTGTCACACCAAATACCTGCTGAAGAGACATGTGAGTCCAACTTCATTGAAAGAGAGTGAGCTCTGTGGATGCCCAGTACCATACAGGTAAGATGTTAATGTAGAGATATGAATCTTTCATTGCACCTCTTTGCAGTATGGTCCATGCACGAAAATGAAATATTTCATTTATGACCTGTAGTGCCTGAAGACCTTAATTTTTACAAACTTGAAGTCTATTTTCTCATTTAATTATAAGCATTCCAGATGGCATTTCATTGAGCTTCCCAAAAAGAGCAAGCATGCCACAGATACAAGGAATAATTTTGCTGTGCTAATTAAATATAAGTGATGCTCTGTGGCAAAAGGACATTTGCTGTGCAGGAAGAGAGAACTTTCTTAATTGATACTCATTTTCTTCTCTGGGTAGGGATACCAGTGAAATCTTCTTATCTTACTGGGTCTGGCTGTGGTGCAGTGTTTTTAGTACAGATCACTACCTCTGTTAAAGTCACTGATGTGCTGCTTTCAGAGGTTCCTGCATGACCGTTCTCATCCTAACCTAGGAATTGCAAGGCCTGGGTGAGATATGAAACTTGTGCCTGGGATCACCGGAAGTAATCTATCTTTGTCTTGAATTCTGGAACTGTCCTGGTCATGCACCTTCAGAGCAGAGACAGATGAGGCTGTTTTGTAGGTGGTACTGCAGGGAGAAGAACTGGCTTTTAACCAATGCATCAAGAGACATTTCAGTGCTTTATTTGCAAACACTGGGGTGTCCTCAACATAAGCAGGACATGGAGTTGTTGGAGCAAGTCCAGAGGAGGGCCATGGGGATGATAAGGGGGCTGCAGCACCTCACGTATGAAGACAGGCTGAGAACACTGGAGCTGCTGAGCCTGGAGAAGAGAAGCTGTGCGGAGACTTCAGAGCAGCTTCCAGTATCTGGAGGGGACCAACAAGGGTCCTGGAGAGGGACTCTTCATCAGGGACTGTAGTGATGAACAAGGGGAAATGGGTTCAAACTGAAACAGGGGAATTTCAGGTTAGATTTCAGGAAGAAGTTTTTTACTGTGAGGATGGAGAGGCACTGGGACAAGTTGCCCAATGAAGTGGTAAATGCTCCATCCCTGGCAGTGTTCAAGGCCAGGTTGGACAGAGCCTTGGGCGACATGGTCTAGGGTGAGGCGTCCCTGCCCATGGCAGGGTATTGGAACTGGAAGATCTTAAGGTCCTTTCTAACCCAAACCTTTCTATGATACTGTAATTCTATGATATTACAGCATTGCTATTGGGCACTCAAAAGTGGAAGTCAAACTAACATCTTACCCACTTCAGTTGTTGTGTTTAAGGGTGTAGCCAAACCATTTTGAACTTGGCTTTGACCATGCGATGTTACTGTTCATGCTCCCAAGTTAAGCAGAGGCTAGGCAGTAAGTCCTAAATAATGTATTCAGATTTGCAGTAGTTTTTCTGAGTTACAGAGTGTGCCAGACACTAATTAAATGTTGGCCAGTTTCTGGTTTAAACACTGAAAGTGCTCACAGAGATGTTTGGGCTACAAATGAGGTGATAATATTTGATCTCAGCTGGAAAGTTTGAAGAGCAGAAATTAAATTGAATAGAAGGTTAGAACAGCAGCCCTTAGTAAAGGACACAAATTATGGTGGTTTACTCTTGTTTAAAATCCTGTGTGGGGTATGGGGAGAGGAGTGCTTTGGAGGTTACAGACTCCAGTGGGCTGAGGGTGAAATTTCCATTCAGTAATTGTTGAGGTTTGAGTTCTGTAAACTATATCCAAATTATGACTTATAACTACATGGTACTATTTATTCCACCATTTTTTCCTGTAAAATTATTATCACTGTTAATTGTTAGTGTTTTCTGAGAGACATCAATGCTGTTGTTCTTGTGCCTTCTAACTCCATTTATGATAGCTGTCATTCTATTAAAAGAGCTTCGCTGCTCTAAGAATTACACATTTTTGTTTAAATTTCAGCTGTTGTCTCTTTTTAATGTATCTCCATGGGCAACTCGTTTGCTGAAGTCTTCATTTATTTCCCCAAATACAACTTAATGATTTATTTCCCAGTTTTAGTGTTTTATGCACAATACTGTAATGTTCCTTTATTTAGTTTCTTGCCTTTTTCTGGAGGAGCAGTCAAGTATAGTAGTTAAGTATGTCTTACCTTTTGAATGTTAACAATCTATCCAGAATTTGCTGAAAAATTAAAGGATGACGTTTTCTTGAATATTTATTAAAGAATACATTGGCATTTCTGCTGCTTCACATGGACAAACCTGGATGTATTTAATTGTAAATACTTCTGTGTGGAAGAGAATAGTTGATAATTCTTAGTGTCTGCTCCACTAAGATGCTTTTCCCCTATGTTATTAAATTAAAAGTTTGGCAATTGATCACAAATTTACAACTACATATCCTAGACTAAGGACAGTCAAAATATTTTCTCATTGAAGTTTAAATTAATTCCTTGCAGTTCCAACTGTGTAAAGCCAGGGGAAAGATGTCATTTGTAAATGGACAGAGGTGCCACCTGGGAAACAAACGGATTACCATGGAAGCTAGCAGGGAAGCCAGGCCAGAAAATGGAGCAATTACATGGATGTGCGGCCACTCTGAATGACAGGGTAATTATGAAGGCTTTGCAGAATGTATGAATGTGTAACATTGGACCCCTTGGGCAGTGATAGCCAATTCCTACTCTGGATGAATCTGGCGTTAAATTTCCATTGATTCCAGTGTGATCACAATGAGGTCAGTGCAGAGCTCTTTTGTAAAATCCACCCACTGAGGAGTGAATAAAACCGACGTTCATTTGTTCAGTGTCATGATAGGAAAGGAAAGGTTTTATAACTGCACCATCCAGGCAAACATGGCTCTACATTTAGCTTCCCAAATTACTCATTGGAATGACTTCTCCATTTTCTGCCCAAATTGTGCGCCAGTGCTCTCATCACATGAAAACTGGCAGTTGTCTCATCTGTTGTACGTAGACTGTGATATTCCCCAGATAGATCTGCTTTAGTATACACTTTTTAAATGTCAGCAACCATAAAAGCAATGCCTGCATTTCCCTGTAGTTGTCCATGTGTTAAAAGATATTCTGATGAAGGACAATAAAAAAAAAAATTATTCTGTGTTCATCATCCTTTTCCTAATTTTTGGGCTATGTTGTTAGCAACTCAGGATGATGCATAAGCAGTAAATACTGTTCTGTGCCTCAGATCTAGACAGCTGGTTCCCCAGGTTTTGTGCAGAACTGTTTTACAACCTGTTTGCTTGGCATAGAGCAGTTCCCTGCTAAATTATTCATTTTGTTCTGTGGCCAGCAGACTGGATGCTTGTGACATGTCAAGTGAAATTCAATCGCTACATCTATGTAAACAAACTCTCAAGACTATGTCTTTGACAGGATAGAGCTTTTATAATGTGATCATTTTCTCCCAGTCTGTTTTTCTCACTCCCATTAATAAAGTGAAGGCAAGATCCTCATCAATTAAAGGTAGTGCAGTCCCTGCCCTTAGGCCAACTTGGATCAGGTTGGGGTGAGAATGAGCAGGAATCAGAAAAGAAAGCAGTTTTCTCACAAAAATGCATACCAGAAACCACTGAAGTCAAAGGGGTCTCTGAACCCCACTGGGCTGGGGCTCACATGGATCCTTTTCAACAGATAGTGTGGTAGAAAATTCATTTGTGGACATGAGCATCATTTAGATTTTCTTTGGGGACAGTCACATGGATTCTGGAGTGTGACTTTGGATTTTTGAGTTTTCAGGCTTCTGGCACTCGACACAAACCAAATCAGTTGCCTCTGTATGGTAGACTGATTTATTTTTTTTAGCTTTTCAGCCAGGGGCTAGAGGATAGGGTGGAATGTAAAAGGCAGATGTATTCCTGCTGTCCCTGCTGCAGGAAGGGAAGATTAGTTTTTAAGAAATGGCAGAATGATAGTGTTAAAAGTAAACCTTGAGATTTAGATTTCCTCGAGTTTTAAATGTGGTGTGGAACACACATGTATCATTTTTTCTACAATGCTGCAAAAACTCATAGCACAAAAGAGATTGTATTTTTTTTTTTGTTGTTGTTGTTCTAAAACTGAGGAAAAAACATCATTCGATTTGGTTCCTTCTCTTCCTCAGGAAAGGCTTGAAATGTCTTTAGTAGCAAAAATACAGAAAATTGTCATCACAGACAAACTAGAAATGCCACTAGTGAAAAATAAATACTTCTTTAAGCATATCATATCTGGCAATATGAAGTGCTTCAAAGGAGAATAAAAAACAAACCTGCTTTAATTATAGGCAATATGTCAGCATAACACTCCTGGAGTGAGTTTATCTGCAGGAGGAAAGAAAACTTGTCACCATTTTCCTGAGCCTGACTGTGACAGCCCATATCCCAGGTCAGACAATGGAGGAGGGTTTGTAGGAAATATTGCAGCTTGCAGATCTGTTCCCTTTACAGGCACTCCTTGGAGATCAAGAGCTGGCCCAGAAGCGTGCACCCCTTGTTGCCATGCAACAGCTAGACAGAACCTCAGGTACTAGACACAGCTCATCCATCATTTCATGGTTTTTCAATATCCTTTCAAACATGGCTACCAGAGCTGCACACAGACTTCCAGTCTGCCTCAACCATGCTATAAAATAACTTTCTTACTCCTCCTTATTAGTCCCACTCACATACACTTAAAACATGCTGTTAGCTTTTTATCCTACCACACCTCATCAGTTCATGTCTTAGTTTCAGATTATGTCAGTGCTGTTCTGTTTCTGTTCGTCATAATACAACAAGGTCTCCTCATGTGAACTTAACAGCATATTGGTCCTAACACTGGACATATGTCTCTGCTAAGATAAAGAAGACTCTCAGAGCACGGAAAGTGTCATGGCTGTGAAAAGATATCCACTGATCCAAATTTCTTCTTTTCTATTTCTAAGTAAGCATTCCCTATGAGAAGCTGTGGCTCCAGCTCCTGGTGGATTCAGTGTGGTGTCGTATCTGTGAAGCAGCGCTAGGAATATGTTTTAGGGCTTTTTCCTAACAGATATGATAAAGACCAGGTTTTAACATCTTGATCTAATTTCCCCTTATATCGGTAATATGAGTGGCTAGTATTGGAAAGAACTAGTTCTTTCTTTATGTTGTTGTAAACTGTATAAAGATGTTCAGAGCATGTGATAAATGATAGCTATGCTTGTCTGTGTGTGAGAGAACATGTCTGTTCTTGGGTCTCAAAACACTGCCTATTTTTAGACTGCATTGATAGTACATGAGTATTTTCAGTTCTTCGATGCAAAACGTTTCCTTTGATATTCTATAGTGAGTGCTTATTTATGCAGTAAAATACATAACAATATTCAATATCAATCTGTAAACATGTATGTAGGGCTGCTGCTATAATCTTCAGTTGCATGGATGTATTTTGTCTAGCTCTGTGCAAAAATGTGAAGCCTGTGCCAAGCAGAAGGTTTTTGAAAGGATCACATAGTCATAGCCCATTGGATGAAACAACCAGCAAGTTCAAGAAGAAATCAAACCACAAGAGCACTCTAATTGCATGGCAGTAAAATTCAACTCTTCTAGTTCTGGTTACATTATCTTATAAACACTTTTACTTTATCTCAAGCTATAGAAGAAATCCATTAGAAGCATAACCTGAAAAGGACATGAAGGGATCATCTTTCATTTCCCTGCCTTAAGGCTACATGGGCTGAAAAACTTTACACAGTGTATTGTTTCCAGAGTTGTCTGAGCATGCATGACTGCCAGGGGAAGAGTTAAGATTATGTACTATAAGTTTCCCACTTTCAGATGTCAAAATACATAACTTGAGTGGGGTCACATAGTCATGCAAGTAAGAGAAAGAAACCTAGAAGAGGCACATTTTGGAAATAAATTGAAACTGGAAAACAATATGATAAATGTTTGTGAGTCAGTACTTGTCAACATGTTATTTGTGCACATTGTTATTTCATGATTCAGCTAGCCAGGAATAAAACTCCATCTAAAGCTAGTAGTTATTCTCCTGCACTTTCCATAATTAAAGACTGCTGCAATTAAGTTAGTGCAGAGTTAGTAATGTATACTGGCTGGTTTAGTTATCACTTGTGTTCAGATCTGCACCAGTAGAGTCTAGGGAACACAAACAGTAGTTGAGTCAGAGCACCTGTAATTATCACTGCAATTTACTGAACTGACCTTGCCAGAGAAAAAATGGAGCAAAAGTTCTCTTGTTAATTAATATTCTCAAATGCTCATGTAACTTGTGTGTATAGTATGGATACTATACTAGACCAGATACAGTAAAGGCAGGACCTAAGAGATGCACTAAGGGTGGTAAATGATGGATGGAGTACTCTCAGCAGTTTGGGCATTGCATTTTGCATGTGCTAATCTGTGGAATGCCAGTGCCTTAAGAAAAATTGTTAAAATGTTCTAAAAAGCTTAATTAATGATGGCAATTAAAAAGGAATTGTTTCTTCATTAAGGTTTGAAAGTGAAGGTTTTGCTGTAGTGGCAAGGAACTTGTGGAGTATTCTTGTTTGAGATGGTTGATATTGGAATAGAGCAGATTCCCTTATTTGCCACCGGCTTGCAGATTACAACGCAGATATGAAAGCAGCATCTGGAGTAGTACCTGTCCTATGGGAAGCAAACTTCCATCGCTTTGGGCCTTAGCCAACACAGCTAAACACAGAGGGACAAAAACTTCATAAAGCAAGAGAAGAAAGGGTCACCACATTGTGCTTCTGACCTGCTGTTCAGTTTCTGTTCTGCTTGCAGAGTTGCTTATCTATGCATGGCTGTTATGCAGGACAGTTTGCAAGGTACTGTGTTGATAAACTGTGAAATCAAGCTTCTGATAATCCTGGTGATGTTTGGAAATGCCGAAGGTTCAAAGAATCTTCAAGTATCAGAAAAAATAGACTGATGCAACTTATTTATATTTGCATTGGCATTTCTTATAATCCCAGTGTGTTCAGTAATTTAATTTCTCGGGGCATAGGATGATAGGTTGGCCTGTGGATGAGGCAAGTGATGGTTTTTGGCTGGATCCGAAAAGAAGGAAGAGGAAAAGTATTTATTTCATCCTTTAAACCAAAGCCAGTGGCAACCACTGCTTTCATCAGGGAATTACTGGTACTGTCAGGAGGAACTCTTGGGACTTTCCTTCCCAAAACCACCTTTGCTTTAGAAGCAAATAATGTGTATGATGGGGATATTCTTTCATCAATGTGTAATTTCATTCACAAAGTTTCTTGTATTTCATTTCCTGCTCTTCCTTCCTTCATTCCGAGTGGAGAATACTGAATGACTATCCCTGCTTCTCTGTACTGTAGTCGTGCTGCCTCCTTTGTCTATGAGTGGGGTAAGACCACTTGAGCCCTGCCTGTTGCTGGCTGGGGCAGAACTGAGGCAGGGAGCTACCCAGGTGGATGCTGAAGCTGGTTGATGCTTGCAGCAGTCTCCCTCTTGGCAGAGATTTCTAGTGCTTTGTAAAACTGGCTGGCTGCATCAGTTAATTGCTTGTTATAAAGTCCTATCAGAGCGCTTAAAGTTTGCCATGCACTTGTTAATTTGATTCTTTGAATAGTTTAGGAGTCCTCAGTTGTGCTGGGGTAAA